AGAAACAGTTGTAGCTTCTTTCAGTGGTGCAAATATTTAAAAAGATGGTTTGAGTATGTGCTTTTCCTGGATGCGCCAACCAAGAGAAGCGTGAACGAACGGTAAATTTCCACAGACTACCGCCACATGTATAGTCACTTCAGGTGTGTACTTGCAAACATGCACGCAGCTCCAGTCTGAAAGGCTACAGTTGACATTTAGGCTAAAAACATGGTGTAAATGGCTTACGGACACTTGGATTACACCATGCAAGCACTATGGAGACATACTGTGGTTTTTTGTGTTCTTTTTTTTTTACTTCTTAAAACTGTTCACCATTCATTTCAATTGTACTGGATTTGACTGAAACGTTGTTTTCCATAGAAACTCTGGGAGTGTTTTGTGAACTGGAGATCTTCTCCCATCCTCACATGAGCACAGGTGGGAGTAGATATTAAGTGAACTGTTATTTGTTGGGTGAACTATCACTTTAACTCTTGTGACCTTTAAGGAAACATGGAAGGTGTTTTGGCATGAACGCTTCCTTTAACTATTCCTCAGACTTTATTTAGCAGATAATGGCAAAAAATTACTTTAGACATTTCTAATCCATTATGCATTAGATCAGTAGCATGTGATATTGAACTGCGATCAATATGGGTGACACATTTTATTTTACGACACAAAAAAATGCTTGAGATAAATATAACCTTGCATTTTCGCTGACACGTACAGCATGATGTGTTTACTGATTCAACAGATAGATGACTACATAGACACAAAGTATTTACATAAAAAGAAGTGGCTTTAATCAAAATATGATCATTTTAATGTGTTTGTAATGTGCTCCTGGTTATTTTCAAGATTTTCACAAATACAATTTGGGGTCTTTGATTGATTTCCAAAAAAATACAACCATAAGTCAGTTTCAAACTGAAAATATGAGATGATTTCACCAAACGATTCAAACAGGTTGTGCTCCTCTTGGCGGCTCAGTCATTTATCTCTTGCCTTGGCTAAAATGTAATCATGTCAAGGCCAATATGACAATTGCTAAGAAAGAAAATCCAGCTCCACCTACAGCTCAGGCTAACTGCCTCTAAAAAATATTTGACTGTCATACAAGAATAACAGAAATTATCATTAAATATATTGTTATTTTAAGGACCGTTGGAAAAAAAAAATGTCTTCTAGGACTCTAGTACTTTGATGCAAGTTTTGCTTGAAAGGCATTAAATCAACATTACATAAATAACATTCCTAGGAATTAAGTGTACAGATGTCTTATTAAAGTGAATTATCAGACTGTTTTAATAGACCTCCACAGAGCTTCTACAATTACACAGTGAGAGATTATCTTCCCGTAGGGCTGCAACAACTAAGATGGTTATCACACACAAATGGGAAGTGTCTCATGAGCAGTATCTGGAAATGCATACTGGGTAAATTAACATAATAAAACTTCCCCCCACCCGGTTCAGTGATGCACCAGCTGTAAGCTGTTCTGCTCTGGCATTCAACGTGTCTTTGAGGTGATAACAAGATCCTTCCAACCACTCATTTGTCTTTATTCTCTGCCTGGCATCTCCCATTTTACCATTTGTTTTTCATTTTCCATTGGCTAATCCGCAGGAATGGCATGGCACTGGAAATTGGAACAAACACACAGTGATCTACTGTCTTGTCACTTTCCGTTTGGGGTTGTTTTCTCTCGCTCGCACACACCGCTGGTTCCCAACTGCCATCCATTTATGTTCAGCGGGCTACAGCACTTTGTTATGCTGCCACTGATTTAAATGAGTGTCCAAAACAACATGTTCCTCGAAAACAGATAGCACAGCTACAGCTTTCCATGAAATCTATCAGTGTTACATAAGTAGTGGTGGCACTAAAGTGTGTTTGTGAGTGATTAAGATGTCAATTAAATATTCCATGGATCTCTGAATGTGCAATAACAAACATGGTTTCAACCTGTGGCCATTTGTTGAGCCTCAGCATGAGAAGCTTACAGTGCAGTAATTAAAAGCAGGGGTGTAGCAACAAATTCTGGGCCCTGTGCATAAGCTGCCTTATGTAAAGTCTGAGGACTTTGAAAATTGCAACACAAGTCTAACATATTATTATTTTAATTTAAAGCTCATTTTAATTCATTAACCAAAACTGCATTTTATCATTTACGCAATATAGCTAAGGTACGACCTCTACTGAGCCAGCAAGATGCTGAGAAGCTTGTTCATGCTAGTCTTGACTATTGTAACGCCGAGTCCGGTCTCACTCCGAAGTCGTCGAAATCCGCCACTTGGGCAGTGACTTGCTGCTTTAGAAACCAACGAAAAAGGCGTCTTTTAACGTCGGCATGACACGGGGCCGGTTGCCGTTATAGTTTAACAGCGCCCGGCGGCATCAGGGGGAAACATGGCAGGACATGGAGGGAAGTTAAGGTGATTAAAGTCTGACTGGGGCAGGTGGGAGGGATGGTGGATGGGTCCAACAAACACTGATTGTCACCCAAGAGAGTGGTGTTTGCGTCCCGTAAGATTCTAAAGCCAAACCCTGTTCTTTTTTCCTTAACCTAACCAAGTGCTTTTGTTGCCGAAACCTAACCACAGGTGTTTGTTGCCTAAAATAAACCATGTGTGTTTGTTGTTGAAGGGGGAAAAAAGTCAATTTGCAGTGTTGTACTGATGTTGTGCTTTTATTTTGAAAGAGACTGTACGTAAACTTTAAATTTCCTGTGAAAACGGAAGTGTATTTTGAAAGAAGACAATGCATGTAACAGGCAGACCTCGACATGGCGTCTTGGCGTCAACAACCAACACACCCAGGGTACCTTGCACGCGATATGTGCACGTGGAAAGTCCATGAGCAAACATCAATATGTGACAAGGGCGGAGTGAGAATGTGTTGTGACACCATATACACTGGCCTACTAAACTGCCACTGCAAAATTACAGACAATTAAGAACATTGCTGTCGGAGTTTTAACAAAAACTAAAACGAGAGACCATATACGTAACCTGCACTGGCTCCCAATATCTCTTAGAATTGATTTTAAAATCCTTCTATTAGTTATTCAGGCTCTTAATGGCCTCGCCCCTCCTGTACCACAGACTCCCTATCACCTTATGTCCCCCCAGGAACCCACAGCTGCTCATTTAACTGTTCTTAATGTCAGTACAAAAACTTAAGGGAATGCTTCTTTTAGCTCCTATGCCACAAAAATATGGAACACCCTGCCTTTAAATATTAGACTTGCTGGCTAACCCTAACCCAGTGGACAGTTTTAAACAATGACTCAAAACATTTTTTTTTTTTTTTTTTTTTTTTTAGAGATTTTTTTTGGGTATTTTTTGCCTTTAATGGACAGGACAGCTAAGTGTGAAGGGGGGAGAGAGAGGGGGGGGGGATGACATGCAGCAATATAGCCTAAAACTAGCAACTATCTGTTTTAATATGTATTATTTTATAACTTGATTGTTTAACTCATTGATTAATTAATTTATTTATTCTTCTCATTTCTCCTTATATATCATATTCTATTTTATTTTGCAATTAATACAAATAACTGAGCCAACAACTGTGCACATAAACTGTCTCTGGTTATTAGGGGAGTCACTAATAATTTGCTAAACCACATTTAAACAATAAAAATCTGTGATATGTGCATAGATCTGCACAGTTTGAAATCTCACCACATTTCAACCCTCTTCTCTCAACATATTGTAGCTTACAGTTACTGTGTGACACCTTTATTATGGTTATATGAGGCTTGTTTGGAATATCATACTTAAGAACATTATTTTCTCCATGTTCAGGTATTTATTATTTCCAAGGTGTAAGACTTTCTGCATAACAGAAAACCACTAAACAAGATGTTACTGGAGTCATGTTTGCAGAAACAAAAAGGAGCTTTACAATTAGTGCTGGCAAAAGCATGTAGGCCTATAAGCAAAATGATTTAAAGTCTAGAAAACTTAAGAAAAGCCTGATATTAAGTATGCTTAGAAAAAGACGATCACTTTTGCACTGATTGAAAAAAATTAAATCTCAATTCAAACAGAATGCAGCAACACATTTAAAAACAAAACAAGGTAAGCTGATGTATATCTTTTCAACGTAATCTTGTTTCAATGAGCCAAAAATCAAAATGGTATTTTCGCCTGCTGTTCAAACATCTTGTCCTTACACCGATGAAAAGGAGACTCCATTGTAGATGATAATCTCTATTTGCCCTATATCCTCCAACACATCTGATTTACAATTAAAATGTTCCCTCTCTCTAGTTCCTTCCTCCAGTCTTTACTGAATGAACCATTTTTATCTGTTTGAATTTCACAGATAGTTTTTGGAGGGAAGAGGAAAATGTCAGAGAGGAGGTTATCGCGTTACATAAAATGATAGAGGCTTGAATCAAAGTGAATATCTGCAGGCGCACTGTGCATCTCAATCAGCATGTCCTAAGAACACTGGCCTACTTTCCCCCTTTCCTTCGATTTACAGTTACAAAACTGAGACACTGAAGTCAACCTGGAGTTGTTGCACAACAGAAACCTGCTGAGCAGGTTCCATCACTTTACATGGTCCCCACCACAGAAGCCCCTCATCTCATAGCAGGTTATTGATCCTTACTGAATCCAGATTTCACTCTTTATTAATCTGTGTTCTCTGTGTGTGACTGCAGTGTCACAGTATGGACATATATTGCAAGATGTATTCGAAAGGAATTCACTCAGATGTGATAATGATCATGAGCAGTAGCTACACCTCTAATGACAGGTTACTCTGTCTGTCTCTGTCAGACAAAGAAAGAGGGATGTGGGAGCCCTGACACAGATACAGAGATAGTCTTCTTGAGACATCCTTGCACTGGGTGAACTGGTAGTAATTTAAGGGGGAGGCTGATAACGGCAGAGATGTTCACGCCTCAGAGTACCTGCTCACTCTGAGGGAGGCTGGACATGATGGGAGGCGTTTCCAGCCTTAGCGGCGCGTCGCTCACAGACATTTCTTGCGCTCCCAGCTGTTGGGTTGAAGCACCGGTCGAGCGCGGTCCTGCACATGCTCGGGTATTGAACCAGTTGGCACTGGGTGCATGAAAGGAATCTCCTCGTTAGTTAAATAAGTGCCTACGGAAATGGAAACATGAAATCGGGCTCTGAACGAGCTGGGAGGACAGAAACGCTGCGTAAGTGAGACAGCACGCCTCCAACGACGAGGGACTGGTGCGCTTTGGCACCAAACTTCACTGGCGAGCTGAGCATCGATTCGGGACAAAGGATCGGCACACTGTGAGGCTGAGCGCGCTTCTATTGACTTTTTACTATAATGTAAATGTATATTAATTGACTTGAGATCCAGAATAAGGTGCGGCAAGCGCTCGTGTTGTGCTCAGTTTGCTCCCCCCAACCGAACCAATGCTGGAATGGCTTGTGGCTCTGTGCATTGTGATCCTGGTGGTCTTAATCTGGCCGGGCTCCAAATATTTTGGCACCGAGAGCCAGTGGGATACTTTGCTTCAGGGACTGGGGATTTCACACCCGGCAACGAAGGATAAAACCGGGAGGTGCGCCTCAGAGCGAGAGGGGAGCGATGGTGCCCAGACGGCCTGTGCGGGTGGCAGGACCGATGGGAAAGCACGCACCGTGGCTCTAATCTGCAAACCGTCCGCGCTGGCCAACTATCTCCTCAAACACTGCAGGACTTTCAGTAATTACTCCCCGTGTGTCGGGTGGACGTGGCGAGCCAGCGCGTTGCTCCAGAGCGTGTACGAGGCGTGCTGGCCGTACGACAGCCCGGTGCAGTTTGTGCGGGACAACCTGCAGCTCAGTGATGATGGGCTGGTGGCCTTGGACTGGGCAGTGCCATCCTACCAGAAGCGACGGCGGACCTCGAGTCACTCCACCAGTCCTGTCCTGCTCATCATCCCAAACTCTTTTGGGAAGATCACCAGGAATGTGTTAAAGGTGCGTTTTTGGCTTCTTTCACAGACTTTACACTAAAAAATGATCCTATAATAGAGATGACAAAACTTAAATAACTACAGATAAATTACATTTTTTGCAGAAACTGAACACATAAAAGATCAAGATGATGTTCATAATACAAAGTTAAGTAAAAATCATATAATGAAATAAACTTCAAATATTCCACAAAGCTGATAACCAGTTAATGGTTGGAAACAGCAGTTTCCAACGTGTCTGCAGACACTAACACCCTCTGAATACTGTTTCTGAATCACCACATATCTACAGAAACTCATTTGTATCCATTTCATTGACAAAAGTCAGAATGTACACATCAGCGTCTAATGCATCTTAAAGGAAAACGTCACCCACAAAATGATCATTAGTAAATCAATTAGTCATGCCATGTTATATTCTCAACTCATATTTAAAAACAACTCACATGGACCAAAGTGCTGTACAGGAGGAATAAAATGCTAAAAACACACACATGAGAGGCAACATAACGGTCAGGTACACAGCTCACACATTTAGAGACACAACTCACACAGGCACACATCAGGGAAAGCCACATCAGTGGAACTCAAACGCTAATGCATATAATGGACATATTGATTTACGGATTGACTGGAGACCACATTTAACAACAGCCAAACTACATCACAGCATCCATTTGCAAGCTCACACACAACTCGTGCAGAATAATCCAAATCTAATTTATCCAGTCGTATGCTCAGTACTTCCCAAACACATGCATTTTCATTGAAACCTTACGATTTAAAACTGAAGTGAAACTATGATCTCTTCAAAGCCAGACTCCAATATTTAAGTTTTTTTTTTCAGGAATGTGTTTGGGAAGTACTGAGCATACGACTGGATAAATTAGACTTGGATTACACTGCACAAGTTGTGTGTGTGTGAGAGAGTGTGTTGTTGTTAAATGTGGTCCCCAATCAAACTTTATGTTTGCCGTTTTCCGTGGAGACATGCAAGAAACACAAAGTTTCTTCATGAATTCAAGGGAACACAGCATGACTAACTGCCTTACAAATGGTCATTTTGTGGGTGAAGTGCTCCTTTAAATAGTGTCATGAACAAAGTAGCCACTCTTCGTCTCTGTTCTGTTTTACAGCATGAGTCAACATGAGGAGAATAGATGCATGAGAGTGCATTGTGTCCTATCATTCAGTGT